TGTGTAGAGTGTGAAGTATGTGTGTGTGCATGTGTATACATGTTGTGTGCACATACATGTACATTTGGGTATAAAGGGGCCATGTGTACACATACTTTTGTATATACATGATCACAAGTCTGTAACTATTTTGTGTACATGTATATGTTCGAATGCATATATTCAGCTTTTTGAAGATGCATGTGTGCATGTACATGTGTATTGTGTGTGTGCGCAGGGCAGACTTATGGCTGTAGAAGCCAAGATGAGGATTGTCTTAGGGATTCTATTGTTAAGCTAAAACACTGTGACCAAAATCAACTTGGGGAGGAAAGGATTTATTTTATCTTAAAGACTGTTCTTCATCAAGGGAAGTCAGACCAGGAACCTGGAGGCAGGAACTGAAGCAGAGGCCACAGAAGAATGCTGATTTCTGGTTTGCTCCCCATGGCTTGCTTGCTCAATCCAGGATCATCTTCCCAGGGCTGATACCACCCACAGTAGATTGGTCCCTCCCACATCAATCATTAACCAAGAAAATACCCCACAGGCAAAACTGCCTATAGACCAGACTTCTAAAGGTATTTGTTTCAACTGAGGCTTCCTTTCCCCAAATTTAGCTTTGTGCCAAATTGACATAAAATTAACAAAAATGGGGCTACTTTGCTGGGATGCAGTGTTGAAGAGTTTGGTCTTCCAAAGCTAGGAACATTGCCTTTTATATTTTAGGCAGTACATCGTGAGTTTCAAAGAGGAGTGTGACATAATTAGATCTTGCTCATTTCCTTCCAGGCTTAGGAAGTGTCCTACATGTTGAGTGCTTGGCACTCGATGAGTCATGAGCACAGATTTGATGAAGGCTTCCACCTGTAGCTTTCAAGTGGAGAACAAACCAGAAAGAGAGTGAAGGAAGAAGACATGTTTGGGGCACAGATCCTGAAATTGAGGTACAAGAGAGGAGGAGGAGTTTAGTTTCCGTTTCCACTTGGGGGAGCAGGAAGGATGGGCATGCCCTCAACAGAAACTGTCCGGGAGACAGAGGGGGGGTTTTCAGAAGTACAGCGAGACAACAGACACGGACCTGAGTTCCCGACAGGTTGGATTTGAGGAAATGCCACAGCACAGGGAGGAGCTTGTTCAACAAGTGGTGTAGGAGGGTCTTCTGTTTGTGTGTTGCTCTCATTGAATAAAGAGACTGCCTTTGCCTTTTGATAGGGCAGCCCTTAGGTGGGTGGAGGAGACAGAACAGAATGCTGGGAAGAAGCACAGTGTGGCACACACCATGAATCTCCGGCCTGAGATGGATGTAGGTTAGACTCTTGCCGGTAAGCCACAGTCACGTGGTGATACACAGATTTAATAGAAATGGGTTAATCAAGATGTGAGAGTTAGCCAGTAAGAGGCTAGAGCTAATGGGCCAGGCAATAATTTAATTAATACAATTTCCATGTGGTTATTTTGGGGATTAACCTAGCCAGGCGGCTGGGACAAACAAGGGACCCCACTCGTTCTACAACAAATAAGCAATAGGGATTAGAATCTACTCTGGGAAGAGACTGGTCAGAGGAATGTACTTTGGTCATTTTTAAGGCATTAGTGGTACTGAAGACATGGAGTGATAAGGCTTTGGCAATGTGGTTAATCCTGACCAAGCTCATTTCAAAGGAAAATGGTTGATAATTCAGTATCCCAATATAACAATTCACAATGTACGTAAATCTATGAATTATTAAAATGTCATTCTCCAGAAGATTGCCTAGCGAACATAGCAAAAGAGATTATAGTCGCCAGTGTGATCAGATCATGATTTAGCCTTTGTGTGTGTGTTCATGTGTGCGGGCATGTGCACATGTGTGACTGTGCACGTACACGTGGGCATGTGTGTGGAGGTCGGAGGTCAGTCTCAGCTACTGTCAGTATATTATTTTGTATCAGTCTCTTGCTGACCCAGAACAGGAAGCTAGGCTGCTGTCCAGCGAGGCTCTTTTCCTCCCCAGCACTACCTCTATACTCAGCTTTTTAACATGCGTCCTGGAGATCACACTCTCCTTGTGCTTGCAAAACAATCTTTACCGACTAAGCCTCCTCCCCAGTCCCTGATGCACTCTTCTTATTCACTTCTGAGGCCACATCGATGTTCTCGCATCTATGGTACCCTCACCTAGTATATGCTGGAGGATAAACGTCACAAACCTCCCTGTACTTCTCTGCTTTCTCCATAGACAATATGGAACAGAGTTTGGCAATTTCCTTTTTGAGAGCATCTTTATGAGCTGTGATGGACATATCAAAGTTTATATTTGCTTGAGTTTACAACTTGAGTTTGGACGTATGCATGCACCTGTGATAACCTCACTGTAGGAAAGGCACACACCCATCAGAGCTTCCTTGTGCCCTTTTATTGAAATGTGAGATTTGCCCTCAAAAACCTAAGGGAGCAAACGCTGTGTTCGCTGTGGGTACAACGCACCCAACAGATCTCTAGAGTTTACTCTCTTCATCTAAGTGAAACTTTGCCGCCAATAAACCTCCACTTTCCTCTCCCCCTGGCCCTTGACAACTGTTTCCATGGGCTAGGCTTTCAAATACCACAGAGTAGAACCTACCGTGTCATTTTGACACTGGTTTATTTCACTAACTCTAACCTAAGTGATAATTTCTCAAAGATTCAGAAGCTTCATTAAGGTCCTCTGTGACATGCATTTTGTGTGACAGTTCTGGGCTGGCCTCTGTTCCCGTGGGAACACGTGATGGCCTTGTCGCTGAACATCTTGTGCCTGCTGTGGCTTTGGTTTGCTTTCCATGGTTCATTGGCCTGGAAGCCGTCACCTGGCTTGTTGCCAAACGGGACTTCCATAGGCTGGGGAGCTTAGCACCCAGTGGTTTGGAGATGGCTCTGGTGGGCTCCATGCTGCTCCGGCAGCTTGAGCTCTCATACTTTCTCATTGGTCCTGTTGCTTTTCTTCCATCATATCGGGAAGCATCCAGCTTTCCCCTCCATCTGCAGCCTCTCTGTCCACAGTAGACACAGTTACACGAGCGGTCTCTTGGGCTGCTTTTGTTTATTTTGATTTTGCTCTGTTTATTTCTTGGTACCAGGCTTTGAATATAGTTCTCTATGTATGCTTGGCAGAGAATATTACCTCTACGAGCTATAATCCCTGAGCTGGAATGAAGTTTTCACTTTCCAAATCCTTTTTTATTTAGACCCAATGTCTTCCTTAGTTACTAGGCTGGCATTGAAGTTGTAACCTTCCTGCCTTAGCTTCCTGAATAGCTGGGTTTATAGGCCTGAGTCACCAGGTGGATGGATTCTTCCCAGCTCCTTCTGTAAAGCTTCTGTGACAGGAATGACACCTGGGGGCTTTTGTCATACAGTCCTCCAGCATGAAGATCCTCCCGGAGGCCTCTACTTTGCTTCAGTGGTGGTCACAGAGTTCATTATGTTTCCTGTTCTTATTCTTGTTCTGGACTGCACTGCATTGAGGAGGAGACCTGGAGCTGGTGATTCAGAGCCCTAGAGTCCACCAGGCAAACATCTCACCTGTTTGCTTTTCTCCATGAATATAAGGGAGGAGCTCACCTCACAGTGGAGGGAAAGTGCCTTTGGGCACGTGGAAACCTTTGCCGAGGAGAAACCTTGAGCAGGCAGCATTAACTCGGCAGAACCTCACAAAAATCAGAAAGCTGTCTGAATTCTGTTTTAAAAGACATACCTGGAGCTGGAGAAATAGCTCAGCGGTTAAGAGCACTGACTGCTCTTCCAGAGGACCCGGGTTCAATTTCCAGCACCCACATGGCAGCTCACAACTGTCTGTAACTCCAGTTCCAGGGGATCTGACACCTTCACACCAATGCACATAAAATAAAGATAAATAAATCATAAAAAATACATAAAAAATACTCTATAAAAAAGACATTGCTCATTACTTCTAGTGGCTAGAACTGGAAACACCTTAAAATCCCCAACAGAGGCATCGCTGATAATGATTCTTTCCTTAGATGGATTCTTGAGTAGCCTTTTAAATGATTATGAGGGATCTGTAACACTGCAAACAAAGGCAATACAATGGCTGCTGAAAGGGATAGGCTCAAAAGGATCTATGTCAGGATGGGTGGGACGAGAGTGAGATTTTAAAAATAGATCATTCAAGCTTGAGAAATATAATGCTGATAAATAATGTCTATTATAAGAACACATACAAATGCCTTTGACAAAATGTATACTTAAATTTGGGAAACATATACGAAGAGATAGCCATCTCCCCCATGGTACATGAATCAAATTGCTTTCCTAAGGGGCTGACAATTTGGTCTACTTCCTGGTCACAGTTTTCTAGTGACCATGGTGGCAGTTCACAGGTGGAAGGAAATAAGGAGCTCTATTACCAGGCAGCATTTGCACAGAGCTTTGAACCCCACAGACTTCCATCTTCCCAGTTTGCACAATGCTCAAGTTTCCGATCTGAGCTGCCTTCCTCGTCAAGTGCTCCAACATCTTTTGGTTTAATTTCTTCTCTCTAGGTTGTTAGGGAGACAGTTATTGCCGGGTATGCACGGAGGGCGTTTGTGACAATGTGCAGACTCGTCAGTTTTCATTATGACAATTCGGGTTGTTGTTCACCTGGGGGCCCTTCACCCCCAACAACTTGGAATTTGAATCAATCATAATTTGGAGGCACCTGTGACCTGAGAGTTGTGCGCATGTGGCGTTACAGTCTTTTATCATATTCTGGCACGAACTGGGACCCGGCTGTCAATAACAAAAGAATAACGAAATCTTACAGGAGTGAGTGTTTACCTTCATTCTTTGCTTCTAGAAGAGTCTCAAGTGCCAGTCACTCTCTTCAGAGTCTGGGTTTCTGGCCTTCCATTCCTAAGCTCCGAGCCTCTGAGAGGAGGTCGAGATCAGCCCTGGGAAATGCTGGCTGTTTCCCCGTGTGTTCTCTAGGTTCACAATGCCCCATTGTTCCAGTGGGAGCAGGACTTCCTCTTTCTGATTGATTAGTCATCATGCGGCCATGCATTTTCAGAGCTCCATTGCTCAGGAGGCAGCTGTCAGCAGTAAGGGGGTCTCTGGGCACAGATTACCCAAGTCTTTTCATGTTTGGTTTCCTGGGTATGGGCTGTTAGGCTTGTTTCTCCATCTCTTTCCTATTTGACTACCTGATTAATGTACAAGTCTACCCTCAGTGCCTGTTTGGTTTGTTCTAGAAATTTATTTTTAAGTTGGAGCTCCGTGTGTAGATAACACAGCCCACATGTGCTTTGCGCCTAATGGGTCTTCATATTAGATCTTTCAAAAGGAACAGTGTGTTAGATGGAGTAGTTCTTGAATAGATGTAATATTCATGTTTGTGGTTGTTCCTGAGAGCGGTGTACCGCTCAGCACTTCTTGCGGTAGGGAATTTGGGGAGTGTTTGCACATGAATTATGATGCTGAACTGGTTGAAGCATCCTGATACGTCATGCACAGAAAGCAGACCGTTTGGAGACAGCAGTGGCTGCCTATGGGAGGAATGTGTCCTGAGCAGAGAAGAGGGAAACGCCAGGACTGTCGTTAAAACTGAGATCTGCCATCACTCTCCTGGCCCTTTGCGATTCAGCAGAATCTGTGTTCCTTCCTGATCCCTCTTTCCATTTCTCCCTTCCGCATCCAAGGGGCTCTGTCTTCTCCACAGGCCTGCGAGCAGCTTGCCCTGTCTTCGTCTGCTCAATCTGGCTGCAGATGGGATATATTTATACTTATGTTCCACACTTTTTCTGCTCTTCTTTCTGATGACATGGATGGCATCTATTAGTCTTGTTTGATCTCTTGTGAGCATGGGAAACCTGCTTTGCGGATCCTGGACGCTGAGAAGGGCGGACACCAGAGTGAGAGGTGAACACACAAATGCACTATGGTTCTGGACCCACGCTGCTCAGCACCGTGTTTGCAGTGCATTGTAGCTCCAGGGAGCGAATAAACACCGTATGTCTGCAGGTGCACAGACTGTTTCCATGCTTGGAAAACAAGCACCTGAAAGTTATGACAGTAATCCGTAGAGCACATATGTACCGCACATCCTATTAGCCAGAAGCATGGCTCCTCCCATACATGGAAGGGGGGGATCCCGTAATAACAGGCTGGTGTTAGAAGATGGGCAGCGTTGTTCAGACTGGCACGGCAACACCCCAGATGGAGTGGTGATCCTTGGTTCCCCCCAAAGAGGCCTGGTTCGTGTCAGAACTTAGCACTATCAAAGTGGCCTGCCATTTGCAAGTTGACCCTTAAGAGAGTGCAGTAAGGCCTTGTTTCCCTTCTTGAGAGTGTATGTTGAGAGAGGCAGCGGTGAGGAAGAGAAGGTGGCTGTGCACTGTCACACAGGGAGAGGGACACATAAAGTTCTTCTTTCCTGAAAGACCAACTTGTCCCCTCCCCCCATGCCTCCGTCTTTGTAGTTCTAGGGTTTGTGGTGCTCCTCAGCTATCTAGCGACTCTCCTGTATTCCCCTCCTCTGGAGCCCATGGAGCTGAAAGGGGGTGTTCATGGGACAGGGGTGACGGGTAAGAAAGCAGGGAGAGTGGTGATAAGGATAAGGTGTGGTGTGCACTCACTATTCCTCCAGGTGTGAAATGTAGGCACCCTGTGAAGGCCCTCGTTCTGTACAGTAGAGCACGGCTCCCCGAAGGTCCCTCAGGCTCGCTCCCCCCCCCCCCCCCCCCCCCCCGACCAAATGCTTGCACGCGCTGCACTGAGCTGGTTTCCGTCCTGGTATACTTCAGAGGTCAGCTTTCCAAGACACTTCTGCTCTTAATGGCAGCTTCTTCCTCTGCCAAAAGTAAGTGGGGAGTGGCTGGATAGCAGAAAAAGAAGCAGGGCAGGGAAGGAAATGGACAGCCAAGGAAGACAAAGTGCAGAGAGATGAGCCTTTGCACCAGGAGAGAATGCAAGTCTCCTCCTGGGGAGGGGGGGGGGATGAGCCCAACAAGATAAGCATACAGACAACAGCGGGAAAGAGAGAGATGAGGCCATTGAGAGAAACACCAAGCCCTCATGCTGGCCTGCTGTCTACATCTGGATAGTTTTGTGGCACCCTGAGGAGGATTTCAGAAGGCTACAGTAAGGACAGAACCAGCTGTGCCCCGCATCTTCACCCTTCCGTGCCCCTACACTGTCACATTCTCTGAGGTATGCAGTCCCAAAGGCTGTGGAAGGACCTTGTTTAAAAATTTTCACGAATGTTTCATTGATTCCTAGTTCCATGAGATTCTCTGACTAATACATGTATGACCGACAAGTCAAAGGAAATTATCATACGTGTTCACTCTGCCTCTTGAAAGGCTGCGAAACAAGTCAGCACATAACAAGCCCTGAGAAATTCTGTGGTGTTTAAACAAACTTGGTTGGCAATATGCCTGCGATCTTGTACAAAATGGATCCTATTAATGGTGGCTCTCAGGCTAAATGACCTATATGACTGTCTGGGTGGCCCTTGTCCTGGACTTTCCCCTCTTCTTAAACAGCGCCTATTAGCATCTCGAGAGATTCCTACACGATTTAGGCACCATCAAATGAAGCTAGCACCTCACTCTTGAGCCTGCACTGTCTTACAGCATCAGGCAAAAAGCCTGAGTGAGCTGACTTGTATCAATGTACTAACCCATTAATCCTGCCTGGAACCACAAAATCCTTTTGGGAGATGGTTTCCTGAGATAAGGGCACAGCTTGCGGCAGTCAGAGTGAGGTCATCAGTTTTGGAGGATCCTATCCACACTGCTGGTCCCTCGTTTGCAGTGCTGTTCAGCCACTGACTTGCTTCTGCTTTTGGTGTAAGTCTTTCTACCACTGTCCCGTTAACTGTTTCAAAGGACAATGAGATACAGCACATAGCAAGTGAACACAGAAAGAAAGCTGGTGTTGTAGACAATCTTCTGGTCCTGTGTCCTGTCTCTAGATAGTTTATATCACCTTAACAAATTGCCAGTGTCTGGGGGGACAGATTCACGAGCATCCAGTCATAAGCCGTTCCGTGTGCTGGAATCACCTGGTGTTCACCGCATCACTGTTGCTGTGAGAAAAGACTCTGACCAAGAGCAAAAGTCTTGATTTGGCTTGCACGTCCATCGTGGAGGGAAGCAGGAGGCACAGAGGAGTGCTTGCTGGCTGGCTCACACGGTCATGCTGAGCTAGCTTTCTAAACCAGTCCAAGACCACCTTCCAGTGATGACACTGCTCTCGGGGGGCTAGGCCCCCCCATGACAGTCAGGACAACACTCACCCCGTCCTTTCCCCCAGGCCAGTTGGAGGGTTTTCCTTTCATCTCCAGGCTGTACGAAGTTTACAGTTAAAGCTGACTCTCTTAAAATGTTTTGGTTTGTATGTAATAGATGCACACACATTATTTGTGCATAATAATGGGGCTCCATAGCATATTTAATACAAATATACAATAGCACACTGACCAAATCCAGCCTCCATTTACCCACCTTCCCCAAGGCCTTTTGCCCTACAGTGAAGCTTTGATTACTGCTTTGCCTCTCATTCCTGGCACACCGTAAGGTTGGGAAAGAGAGCCGGCACCATGGTTTTAAAGATCTGCAGTACTCCCAATGCACAACAAAATGTGAATTGTGCTGGGTTAAAGCACTTTACTACCCATCCAGACATCTCCTTAAGACAGCTAGGTCTCCCTGTGCCGGTCCGTCTTAGGTCAACCTGACACAAGCTAGCATCGTCTGGAAGCAGGGAGCCTCAACTGAGAAGATGCCTCCACAAGACCCAGCTGGAAGGCATTTTCTTAATTAGTGACTGATGGGAGAGGACCCAGCCCATGGTGGGTGGGGCCACCCCTGGGCTGGTGGTCCTGGGTTCCATAAGAAAGCAGGTTGAGCAAGCCATGGGGAACACACCAGTAAATAGCACCTCTCCATGGCCTCTGCATCAGCTCCTGCCTCCATGTTCCTGCCCTGTTTGAATTCCTGACCCGAGTTTCTTCAATGATGACCAGTGATATGGAAGTGTAAGCCAAATAAACCCTCTCCTTCCCTCTTTGCTTTTCGGTTATGGTGTTTCATTGCAGCAACAGAAACCATGACTAAGACAGTCCCTAAGAGAAGCAGGACAGGGACTCACTGCTGTTTTCATTTCGTAAGAAACCTCAGAATCCCTAACAATTCAAGGAACATAATCCCTGCCACAGTTATGGCACATTCCAGGGCAGCGCCCCCCTTGGACAGACTAGATTCTAAATCTGTTGTGATGAGAAATTGAGTGGGGACTGGGGAGCGCTCGCCTCGGGCACCCTGTTGCTTGAACACAGACCTTGGTGTCTGTGGGAGCAAAAAGAAAGCTACTTCAGCATGGCCTCCCACCCCTCCCATCAATGCTGTTTCTGTCTGGGGACTGTGGCTTTGCAATTCATTTACAGGAAGACAAAATAGAACCTTTGTGCTGGACTTGAAGGAAATTATGAAAGGCCACAGCGTGTCTCCAGACTTATGTCAACTATTTATCTCTTGTTATTTTCAACAAACAAGCCCTCTCCATGCATTTTGAGAGCATCTCGGTCATTGGTTTTCTCGAGCTTTCCCAGTCCCTGTTGTGGCAGGTATGAGGAAAACCTACTGTCTGGTGGCGTGGTCCACCAGCCACCCCGTGTTATGGCACCGAAGCTCAGTGAGACAGCGTGCGAGGCGCCAGGTTACACACAGCACGGTGGTGCTAGAGCAGAGCCCACTGGGAACCAGGCTCCATGATTGCTTCAGATTTGCTAATCAGGAATTTAGAAGCAAGGGCGAAAGGAGTTATTCCCAGTTCCCTAAATATTATCATCTCCCAGTGTGTTTCCCCCATCTGGCACTGTGTGTGTGTGTGTGTGTGTGTGTGTGTGTGGCACAAATTCTGACAGCTCTCCAAACACGTGTGCTAAGTTGAGCCCTCTCTCACTGAAGGTGGCAGGCAAGAGCTCGGTGGCCTCCTGGATGCTCTCTGTTTGAGAAAACTTGAAATGGATGACCTTAGTGTTTGAGAACCTGGCACTGATCTTAGAGAACTAAGATGCCTTAAATTTTACTTTAAAATTATCCCAAGTATTTCTTTCTAGGTTAGAGGACAATTTGAGCATTGTTTGTTCTGTAGCCTCGGGAAACTATATTGATATTATATTTTTAAATGCCTTGTTGTAGAATATTGCGCGGAAACTCAAAGGAGAACCCTACAAGACCTGGATCTAAAAGGTCTTGGCTTTTGTCTTCTTCTTCTTTTTTTCTTTCTAATTTGAACAAATGTCCAGGATGCTATCATTTGTAGGTGTTTTGAATAAAATGTTCAAATTTATGGATAGCATATTTTATGGAAACATCAGAACTTAGTTTCTGTTAATGACATATTCAAATCCCATAAATAGCTCCCTGATTGGGGGGAACAAAAGGTGTGGAGACATGGAGTCTTTCTGTGTCAGAGATGGGTGGCCCACGTGTGAACGAGGTGGCAGACCACAGCTCACTTCTGTTGCAGCAGACAGAGGTGGCACTAATTACTCGTGCTGGGCACAGACAGGGCGGCACTCAGCGTGGTCATACCTCGAGAGCATCGTCATCCTTCGGAGTTATCTGTGGAAGCAAATTCTCAGAGACTCCCAGCAGATCCATTGGATTGGAGCATCCGGGAGGAAGGCACAGCCTCAGGCTCTGCGGGTTATTCTAGGAATTGTTAGATTTGGGAAGCACTGACCCTCGGTCCAGAGTTCTCAGGCTTTGGTGCCCAGTCACACTGACATCTCCTGGGAACTCATTAAAACTCCTCTGCAGCATGTTTTTATGGGACTTTGGCAGGTGAGGGCTGAAAGGCTCCATGACCCTTTCAAATGCTTAAGGGCCAGAGAGATGGAAAAGCTGAGTAATAAATAATGAAATCTTGGAGCAGAGGAGCGATGACTTAGCCACCAAAGTGTTCGCCATGCTAGTGTGAGGGCCTGATTCCGTCTCCAGCATCTGCTTGCTTGGACAAGCTCTCCAGGTGGGCGGACCTGTGAGGTTGAGGACCACTGACCATGGTGCCCACCAGCTCTTCCATCTTCGTGAACACACAGAGTATTATTCTGATTTTCGCCCCTCCTTGGGGCCCCTCTAGGAGTCTCCTGGCAGCTTCCTGACCATCTCAGCCACTTGTGACCCAGATGCAGGCTGGGAAGCACAAGTTAGTGGGCGGGGCCGTGCCCCTGCCTTACTTGTAGGAATAAGACCTGGACTCTCCAGGACTGCCCAGTGCTCAGACTGAAAAGCCAGGGGATCTGAAATCAGGACTCCTGAAGAACTGGTCATGCAATCTAAGAAGCTGGAGCAAGGCCACACTAGCAGGCCTTGGGACCCACCCAACTCTCCCCAAAGGGGCAGACCATGGGACTTAGGATCCTAGGGGTGGCTATCGATCACTGGTCAATGTTGGGAGGCCCTGGTGTTCACATTTTCCCAAAGCCATTTGGATCTGTGATAGAAAGAAAACTCTAACAATGGGAGAGAACTGTGGCAGAAGAATAACAGGAGTCAGGGGATGGTCAGAGGGGGTTGGCTCTTGAGCTGGTAGAAAATACGACATTTAGCAGACGCTGTGACTGCTGCTTGCTTTGTTTCTGCTATATTCAAGTTAATGTCCAACCTGCAAGATATTTGCTTTTGCTTTGAGGATACAAGGAGGGACTGGGGAGGAGGAGACATCTACATCTGTACTTGGAGCCTCTATAGGTCTTTCTTAGTGAAAGACCATGTCAGGTGTGTTCTTCGGGCTGGGGGATACATGACCACAGCAGAGATATGGAACTCTTTGCAGTACACTCCTTGTTGACAGATCTGTTCCCCAACTCCAGCTTCTCCATGTTCCCCAAGGCCATATGGTAATAACTGTGTACAGTATTTTCTGTTCCCTAGGGGATGTGTCCCAAAACACCTATGAGCGATTGAAACAGCATATAGCACTAAACCCTGTATCTACTATGTCATCTTCTATGTGTGAGTATCCACGATGAGGCTTATAAAGTAGACTCAGTAAAACTAGCAGTAGTAACTAGTAATAAAATTATAACATCATCTTATAAAAACATCAGTGAATTATTTATTCCTGGACTTTTCTGCTTAATAGTTCTAGGTAACTGGCAATCATGGAGAGTAACACAAGGGCTGGGAACTTTTTCTCTTGACTAATACCAATTACCATGTTTGTTTGCTTCTCTGAACGCAGGTTAGAGATGGCAAGATGAACTTAATTCTTCTGCCTCACAAACTCCCACTGAAATGACCTAAGGCTGTAAAACCAGGGAAAGGATTCACCACCAGGAAAAATGGGGGCAGTGGCAGATGCAGGGGAGGTGTTTGTCATTTCTGGTACACGTAGTGCAACCACGATGTGAGAAGGAAGGCCTGCTGTGCCCATAACTCGGTACCGGCTAAGGACTTAGCAAACGGGTGGGTAGAAATCTCAGCAAAGCTCCCACCATGGTCTCAAGCATCAGAACTTCTGGGCAGCAGTTTCATGGAGGACCGTGTTACCGTTGAGTTCAGACCCCACCATTAGTGAGCTGTACAAAATTAGCAGCCTCAGTTCCATCCTCTGTTAAAATAGGGAGGATGCCTACATTATAAGATGCAGAAATGCCAGGCTGTGGTGTCTCGCGCCTCTAATCCCAGCACTCGGGAGGCAGAGGCAGGCGGATCTCTGTGAGTTCGAGGTCAGCCTGGTCTACTGGCTCCAAAGCTACACGGAGAAATCTTGTCTCAAAAAAAAAAAAAACCACCAACAACCACAACCAAAAGATGTAATAAGGATGAAATGCAGTTTATATCCAGAGACACAGCTGGAAGGTAACAGCGGCCCGTTAGTGATTGCTGCCTACCAGAGGAACTGCTGAGGGTTTGGCTCGAGTTATTGCGAATCTGCGAGGGAAGCCTTTGGAAAAGGGTCTCCCTCAGATAAGTCAATGCTGCTGCTGAGGCAGCCAGACCTCAGAAAGAGCTAGACACTTGTTCAAGGTTCATCCTGTTTCAGCTGGAGCAGGCCGATGCTCTGAATCCTAAACCTAATTTGCTATTGTTTCTGTTCTTTTTCTTTCTTGTCTTGTCTTGTTTTGTTTTGGCAGTTTCTCGTGTAGCTCAGGTTGGCCTCAAACTCCTGATCTTCCTGTCTCTACTAATTTTAGGGGTTATAAGCCCAAGCGGCCACATCCAGCTATAATTTGTCTTTTTGCAGTTCTGGGTCTCAAACATGGGCCTCATGCATGCGAGGCAAGCATTCTACCAGCAAACTCTAGTCTCCTAAGGTATATTCTTCCAAGCCGTAACACATCCTTGATGGTACGTATCTGGGTAGTATAAGTGCTTGAACTCAATTAATTGTGCATCCAAAGCATTGTCTTTTACACAGTGCAGTCTGATAACCACTCACAGGGCACTGATTGTGTTAGTGTTTTTGTTTTCTAGAGGTAATTTCAAAGCACGAAAGAACTACTCTGGTTCTACACAAATACTGCATCTTGCTTTTCCTACTGAAAAAAAAATGAGATAGTTTATGTAGCTCAGTGTGTCCTTACACTTAGGATCCACCTGCCTCTGCCTCCTGAGTGTTGATTTCACTAGTGTTCACCTCCATGTCCAGCACACAACATTTTGCAATAAGGAGCTTAAACACATGCAGAGTTTGGGAACTGTGGGGGGCCCTGGAATGAACCTCCTGTGAACACTCAGGGGCCACTAGATCACAGTCCTTCAACAACTTGCTTTTTTGTTTTGTTTTGTTTTTGTTTTTCAAGACAGGGTTTTGGATTCTGTTCTGTAACTAGCTCTCATAGACCAGGCTGGTCTTGGACTCACAAAGGTCCGCCTGTCTCTGCCTCCCCAGTGCTGGGATTAAAGGTGTGCGCCACCACTGCCTGGCTCTTCAATAGCTTTCTAAGCAGACATTTAGTTGAGGACACTAGAATTTGGGACTTAAACAAACAATGGGATAAAAACATTTGAAAGCAAGCCAGTTTAATCAAAGTCTCTCTCTTTAGTAGTATTGTGCTGTTCTTTAATCGATATAGTCAGTAGAATACCATTCTGTCTATTACCTTTAGGTTGGGTTTTATTCCCACTCAATAAAGGGGGAAAGGCTTCAAACTGTGATCCCAGACCCCTGCAGTTCTTTGAGGCATTGCTGAGTGTACAAGTGCTTCTAAACCACCGTGTTTCTTTTCTAGTGGAACTCACAGAAAACCTCGAACTCCCCGTGACACTGCTTGAAAACCACAACCCCTGGCCAGCCTATGTCATGTACACCTCTCCAGCAGTAAAGCGCCTCATTGACAAAAGCAGGGCCCGGGACCTGGAGTGCATTCATTCTTACGAGGAGACCTTTAAACCCACAAGGTTGAGCAAATGTAGTTTCACGCATCTGAAGGGGAAGAAGTCATCCAAGTCCTCAGAGCTCATGCTCAAGGATGCCCTGTCCGAGTCCAGGCAATCCACGTGGGAACCTTGCTCTGCCACAAACATGAGTTCCACACTCTTTCCAGAACCTACACAATCACAGATGGAAGCCAGAGAGGGTCCCACGTCCAACTATAACAAGATCATCTTCTCCAGGAGGCCTGCGATGAGGAAGCTCCCCTATGACTTACTGCAGGCCAGCAAGGAGCCGCATGCCAAAGCTTAGTCAAGAGCCCTGAAGCCATCCCCTGAGAATGTACAACGGTTACACTCCATCTGCTACAATACACCATGTCCTTGAAACTTGCCCTTGTTCCTGTTTAGACATAGGTTGGCAGATAGGGACCATATCGGAAAGCGGGCTGTGGGTAGACAACCCCAACACTTTTGGGGTGGTGCGATTGTAGCTGCTGAAGGCTCAACTGCATGGGTGTTTGTGTCCTGACAGCAGACAGAAACCACAGGAGTGACTTTACCAGTCTTCATTTAATAGGCTCTTTCACCAGGTGACGAAAGAGGGCTGCAAAGTAAGAATCCAGTTATTGATAGGAGTAGCCCCCAAGGGAACCGGCGCCATCCCTAGAGTTATTGGAAGTTAGATGCCTGCAGGAGGGAGATGTGTGGTGAAGCTCAGACATTCCAAGGCTTGTACTGCTGACTCAGTGCTGAGGAGAGCCCCTGCAGGGTCCTATCCCACACCCCTGAGAGGGGTCCCTGTCTCCCTTCACTGAAAGACATCCTGAGGCTGTCTCAGTGAGTGTTAAAGAACTCAAAATTTGAATTCAAATACTGGAAGGCAGTTCCACTGCCTGCCTGGCTGACAGAAAGGGCTCCAAGGGAAGCTGCCAGAGGTGGGAAGGAGTGGTAGGAACCACCAGGAAGCAGCTGGTGAGTTCCTTCTTCTCCCTCTAACCACGTGGACTCCTGCTAGCGCCTTCTGTGGGCAGGGTGTGGTAGGACATAAGCAGGAAAGCCATCGCTGATTCCCAGTCTTGCCATATCCCAGGGTGTGTGTGTGTGTGTGTGTGTGTGAGAGAGAGAGAGAGAGAGAGAGAGAGAGAGAGAGAGAGAGAGAGAGAGGAGAGAGAGAGGAGAGAGAGAGAGAGAGGAGAGAGAGAGAGGAGGATAGAGAGAGAATTGGAGGGTTCCTCTTTGTTTCCAAAAAAGATACTTTTAACTTTTTTTTTCTGTGTGTCCATGTATAACTGTGTCATAGCGAGTGTGCCATAGTGCCTGTGCTCTGGCAATGTGGGTCCTGGAGACTGACCTCAGGTTGTCAAATTTAATAGCAAGCACCTTTACTCATGGAGACGTCTTGCTGACACTCTCTTGTACTTCTTTATTTTAGCTTGGGGAGTGGACCTGATGTGACTGTGGGGGATGGATTAGGATTCAGGGGTCCCTGGCTGGACACCAGATGCCATTTGTCAGGTGACAATTAGACATGGCCCCACCCATGCTCTTCATCTGGCTGCAAAGCTAGTCAATTCTCCTCAGTCACAAAGTCAACACGCTTTGTCTTCGGGCACAGGCAGCCTCCTGTTTGGGTTTCTCTGTTATCATGGATGACGCTACCCATGTTTCTGAGTATTTTCAGGGCAGTTAATGTCCGTCTCCCCCAGATCCAGTGGTCAGGGTGTGATGGACTGATAGTTGCAGCTGCCATCTGAAAAAGCCCAATTCTTTTTGCAGTGTGTCTTCTCTATTGATTGTAAAAGGTTGGCATCACTCGAGGGTGTGGTTTTTTAGTCTCCGGCTCCTGGACAGTTCTGTCTGAACACCATTGTAAATCAGAAGTTCGCAGTCCAGTCCTGGGTTCTTCACCCTGGGCCAGTATGAGTTCGGCAAAATCGTAGCTACTTCCCAGCGAATCTCAGTAAGTACAGTTTGAGTGCTGGAGATACAAGATAGTTCTTCTAAGGAGAATTTTTTTTCTTAAGACTGTGATGTAGCAATATATACCTACAACTCAAGCATTCAGGAGACTGAGACAGAAGAATGATGGGCTACATAGTCCCTGTCTCCAAACAAACAAGTTAAAAATAAAAACAAAACCAACCAAACAAAGCAAAGCCTCTTTAGTCCTTCATGGGCATTTTTGGCCAGGGTACATCTGGGAGAATATGGGTTACAGCATCTCTGTGAGTGCTGGCCAGGATCAGGTGACTGTGGTTATTTCTCTAATTCCTTTAAGGGCAGAGTGATGTGGACTTGTATAGGCCTATGCATATTATCTTCTTTGTATTCAATAAATTCTTTTAAAAATGTACTCTACTGTAATTGGTTTTCAGCTAGCACAATTTAGAATAATTTCTTTCTCTGCCTAGGGTGTAATGACAGAGGCATGAGCCAGGGATGTGAGTCACATCTTCTGCCACGGTGGAAAGGGCCTGAGCTTTGTGCATGCAACATCTTATGGGACTTTGTGCATGCAATGTCTCATGGGACTTCGTGCATGCAACATCTCATGGGAATTTGTGCATGCACTGTCACATGGGGCTTTGTGAATGCAATGTCTCATGGAACTTTGTGCATGCAACATCTCACGAGGCTTTATGCATGCAATGCCTCACAGGGCTTTGTGCATGCAATGTCTCACGGGGCATTTTTAGGACAGAAAAAAGAATCCAGTTCCTTTTGAAATGGAGAACTCAGCTTAAGTCTAGGTGGGGACACATGGTTCTGGCCACTGGCTCTATTTACAAGAGAACTGGGGATGCTGCACGGGAGACACTGTTTGCCAGGACAAGCTGGTGTGTAAGAAAAGCTTTGGTCACTGGGTTCAGGATGATCCTTAGGCTCAGTGACTTACCGTATCCAATGTTATCAAGTGACCTTCCTGAGGGCTATGTGGATGAGGACCAGTGAGCCCACCTCCCTGAGGATGGCTGGATGACAGTCCAGAGGCCCTGGTGTACCAAGACAAAGAGAAGGAGCTGTCTTTGGCTTCACAGGCCACTGGAGCACAGGTCCCACTGCCCTAGATAAGGCCTCGAAATTTTGAGGTCTGGGAAAGCCCAGAACATACTTGTTGGGACCAGATTTGCTCATCCCTCATGCTTCCAGAAATAAACACGGCTCCTTTCCAGGACCCTGACATCCGTTCAAAGCAGGCAGGGCATGCGTGAAGTGGAATGTGGATTATTTCCATGTAACCTCATCTGCTGGTTCAAAGCAGGGAATCCTGGTGTAGCTCAGGTTACTCTGAGCAAGCTAGTTGGCAGTCTTAAAGAAGGAACTGACTTTCTCTGATGTTACACAGCCTATAGCCTCCTCTCATTTATCTTCTCTGTACTCGGTATCTTTTCTTTCTCTTAACACAGTTGCTGTTACAGTGGGTTTGGCTGCTTTTGTGGTCTATGTGGGGCCAGAATGCGGACTTTGTCACCCTGTCTGTGTTGCTGATAGCTAAGGCCATGTTCTGACACATTTCATGCAGCCGTTTTACACAGACTCCTCGGCTTTCTGTGCACAATATGATATTGACCACGTGCAAACTCCAAAGGGGTGTCAGACGTTTGATGTTTAACCTCTGCGGCGTATCCGAGCCACTGGTCACTTTTGCTTTGGACGTCAAGCAGTTCTACATTCTGGAGCTTCCTCAGCTGCTGGCCTGGGGCCCGTCCTGATGGAGATTAGGCCTGTTTGACTGATAAGAGGCTGCAGGAATCTTCAGGGCAACTTGCAAACAGAGGTTCTGGTATGGGTGTGTCAAAGGAGACTTTTAGGGTCATCTGGGACCTCTCTAACTGGGGTGGGAGGGAGAGGTGGGGCCTAAGCAGGTAGGGTAGCTACATTGTGAGCCGTATTCAAGTATGGCAGATGCAGCATACCCGGTGTGCCTTTTTGTTTTTGCGGTCCAGTGTCCTTAGGGAGGAGGGGTAACCATCACACAGTTGTACAGCCTCCCCCTTTAGGACAGGAAGAACATAACAGGCACTCGAGGCAATGATTTCTGGGCTCCTTCAAGGTAGCTAAGCACTCAAGGGAAGTGGAGGACCCAGCACGGGACAGAGACCAGCTCCCCGCACTGGAATCCCAGTCAGCTCCTATCTGTGGAGATAAAGAACAAGGCTCAAATGCCCCGACACTCCTACTCTTTGTGTCTTGCCAGCAACTGTGAGAAAAGGATTATAAAGTGTTTTGTAAGCTGTGTCCAAGCCAATAGGGCCATTCACACCACGTGGTCCTTTTCGGCTTTAACTCATATTCCTACCCCACAGCCCTGTATTGTATGTACAGACCAAAGGGCAAATATCCAGAGGCCTCGAGTTATCTGTGGCAGATGGAGCATAGACTGAGAAAGCCCCAGAAGGGGTGTTGGGGAAGGGAAGTAAACAGAAACCTGATTGGAACTCAAAGTTGAGTTTCTGTTCGTTGAAAACTCTCTTCCTACCTCCTACCCCTCCCTGGCCTGTATCCCTTATCTGGGACCCAGGGTCTCAGTCGACTTCTTGAAAATTGTAGGGTGACATCACTAAACCTGTAGGGCATGACTAGGCACTTGGGAAGAACAAGAGGCAACACGGAACACCTGTATTACCGTGTCCTCACGGGGCCCTGACACCTACACTTGGCACGCATTTGTAGGATGCTTGGCAGTGTACTGAAAACGCCGGCTGAGAGAGCAACTTACGTGTGATATGGTGTTCCTCCTGGTAAAGGCAGCAGAAGGTGCGTGCACTTGGAATTTCATCACCCCATAGTCTGTGCCCCCCACATTCTGGGCCTCCCTCTATCCAGACTGATTTCTCCGTGCCACAGGTAAGATATGCAGATGTGTGACTGCCTCCCGTGGGTACACAAGCCAAGTGTGAGTGGCATGGCCTTAGCTTCATATTCTAGAGACAGTAAAAATTTCCACCCCACCTCTGACATTTCTAGGCAGCTCTTTAACCGAGGGCCCGGCACAGCTTATGGCGTACATTCACTTCCTGCCTCTCGTTGGTTCTTCAGTGACCCAGAGTGGTGCCTTATTTTTAGCAAATACAGGGACCCTAGAAAACCCAGACTTTCAGACAAGTTGGGAACTTGACTCCAGGCACTGTTTATGCACATGTACCAAGTGGGCATAGGTTTCTCTTTGGTTAGAGAGCCACCTCCTGCTGGAGGGAGGTTGGCCTGAGTGTGGCTGACCCTTTGTACACACCTGTGCACACTGGAACCTGTCCGCATGTGTTTTACTGCTCAGAATCCTTGGGCAGGCTTACCTGGGTAAGTGGATGA